GATGCATGGATGCATGGATGCATGGATGCATGGATGCATGGATGCATATATGCATGGATGCATGGATGCATGGAAATAAATAAAATAATTAAATAACGTTATTTTAATCGATCATTATATAGATTAAAAATCAAATAAATACTGCTAAAAATACAAATAAAGTTGTTACTGCTGCTGCGGCAGAGTGCAGCAGTAGCTAGACAGCATGCACAGCGACCCGTTATGCGTGGCATCAGACCAGCTGAATCTACAAAACTACCACCCTGCCTATAGATGAATGGACCAAATAATAAAAATGGACAACTGTCAACGTTTCTGCGTTTCTTGACTGCATGATTGTGTCATGAATAAATCTATATACATGTAGTATGTATGTTTTGCCGCAGAGCAAAGCAACTAATAGCTCCAATAGACACGAATGTGTGTGTGTGTGTGTGTGTGTGTGTGTGTGTGTGTGTGTGTGTGTGTGTGTGTGTGTGTGCGCGCGCGCGCGCGTAGTGTGTGTGCGTGAGAGAGCGAGAGAGAGAGAGAAAGAAACAGAAAGACAGAGAGAAAAAGGGGAGGGAAGTTAACGGTCAAACAGCAAGTCGTACTGCGTGGTGGGTGTCATCATCGGGGAAGAACGCATGCGCAAACGTTCCTCCCGGTCCATCGAACGGCTGGTCGTCGCCATGCTGTCCCTTCTCGAAGCTGAGACGGAAGTCGGCGCTGCCACCTGGCGGCACAGAGGCGAACGTCAGCACGCTTCGTCTGCGACCTTCGTTGATCGCCTGCTGCCACACCCTGGCCGCCGCCGCGAACGCCTTCCTGCAACAGTCACAGTTGCTACAGATTGGACCAGACGAGTTGCCACAGACGAGCGAATTATAAGGGAGATAAGAAATTAAAAATCGGCGCGTTAGGTTGAGCGCATTAAATGCATAGCGCAGTAAACACATCGCTCGCTCGTCTCTCGTTTTCCGAGCGCACTGCGCCGAAACATAAGTAAACCGCATAGCCGCAAGCTTCAATAATTTTGTTTCCTTTTATAATTTTCTTTATGTACTATCTTCATTTTTCTCGTTGTTTTTTCTCGATTTTTTCTAATCGCTAGCAAATATTTCTCGCTAGGGGGCGTCGGTATATAGTCCGTAAACTCCCAGCGTCCTCACGCGTCTGCTTCTCCACGCATCCGTCAGATATTTTTATTGACTAGTTTTCGAAGACGGCAGCACGAAACTGGATCGTTGACTCATCACGTAGACATTTGTTTACGTGTTTAACGCTGTATAACTCGCTAGCTTATCGATAAAGGCCGACAGTGAAATCCTCCCTCAGTTTAATTACCAGACAGATATTAGTATATCAATTACCATATAAATTACACTACAAGCATTCCTTACAAACACAGAATTAACCATAGAACCAACCGTCTCGTGTCACCGCGCGAATACAGCGCGGATGCGCATGGATCACTTCGCCGACCGCAACGCGCACCTTATTTCGTTGTCGTCGCGACGTCGCTGCGGGTCGCCGTTGCTGATGGCGATGGTGAGGTCACACTTCTCCCAGCGTCTAGTGGAACTATGGACTAAACCGCAGGGGTGGCTCGCATTAGTGTTATATTGACTGTGATTGCCATTATCCCGCCGGTGGGTGGGGGGCGGGAGACGGATCCACCGGCAAAAAGACGGAGGAAAAGCCGAACAAAAATAATTTAAACACTTCTCGCTCTCTCTCTTTCCCTCCCTCCTTCCCTTCCCCTCTCTCGCTTATGAGTAAAGGGATTACCGAATGTAGTATAAATTTTACGCGCTATTTACGCATTTGGCAGCTTATCGTTTCTTTTCGCGATCGAGTCTTAAAATGTATATATATATATATACATAGGCCTACGGGTATGTACGTACGTACAGCATAATTTCGTTCCATCCGTGCAGTAGTTTAATGCAGCCGATTTAAGCAACGCAGGAATGCAAGCGACGCAAACGCAGACGCCAAAAGAAACCGCAACACGAAGAATAATCTTAATAATAAAAGTTTAATGTCGAAAATCCATCGTCTACACACAGAAGTTTGTTTTCACAGCGGGATGTGGTCGCGGAATAGCGAGGCCGTGATGTCACAGGTGCTGCGCTATGAATAACTTGCCTTCTTCTCCGTAAATCCCCCTCCCCCCAGACACACATACACACACGTCTCTTTCTCTCTCTCTCTCTCTGTCTCTCTCTTGCTCGCTCACGCTCAGCGCGCCTCACTTCTTCTCTCCCGCACCAAAGAGAAACGAGAAGAATGTCTTCTCCGGTCGCAAGGAGACCGTCTCCCCTCTCGTCCTTCGGCCCACCTCCCCGCTCAAGACACGGTCTTCCTCTCTCAGCGCTCGCGCCTCCGTCCGCAACCTACCGCCGTTCCAGTCTACGCTAGAACCACGTGGCTCTCCTTCGTCTGCTCGGCCGAGATGCGGGGCGTCCTCGCGTAGCAACACGGTCGCCGCGTCCCTGACGACGCCGCCATTGCTCGTGTGCTGCATCAGCATGGTGCGGCTCGCCTGCGTCCCGCGTAGTAGACTGCTGTTGCGACGTGGCACGGGCGGGAACGCGAACCCGCCGCCGAACATCGGCCGCGCGTTGCCGTGCGGGGGCGCTGCTGTTGCGGCGGTGCGCCGCGGGGTGGCGCTGTGCAGCAGCGGCTCGGCGCGGCGGCGGGAGCTGAGAAAGCGGAAGAGACGCTGGACGGTCGCGTCGTCTGCGCCGTACACCTCACAGAGCGGGAACGCTGCCGACGAAACATTATACAACTCACTCACACACGTGGTTAGGTTAGGTTAGATTAGACACATAGGTTAGGTTATATTAAATTGTATTAGTTTCAATTAAATTAGTAGGTTAGGTAACATTATACTAGATTATAATAGAATAGATTAGATAAAATAAGATTATGCATAATTAGGGTAGGTTGGGTTAGATTAGATTGTATTAAATGCATTCAATTAAATTGGATTAGATTCGATTATAGCAGAATAGATTGGATTGAATTGGATTAAATAAAATAAAATAATACTTGAATTTAGATTAGATAAGAAACTGATAGTAGCACACTGAGAATGCGATCGGTCAGTGAGCACTACTCACGGTAGAGTTTGCGCACCCTGGCCACGTCTTCGGCATGTAGGCCCGGCGACCGGGTGGCGTTAGGGTTGATGTACGGGTACATGACGGATTCGTGCGTGAGCGAGTGCGACAGCCCGAGAGAATGACCGACCTCGTGTAGCAGCGTGTAATCTAGCAGACGACCCGGATATCCGGTCCTCCGCCAGTCGTCGTCGCTGTCCAGATGCACCTCTCCCTGCGAGTTAGCGAAGTGAGTCAGTTCGTCGCCGATAGATGGCGATGTGGTGAGTATGTACGCGCTTCTATTAGTAGTTCGATTAGTTTTTAGTTGCATAGATGATCGACTCATTTATTAGATCGGCAGCCAGACGATAAGCTATGTTTTATGTGTCAGGCAGCTATGTGTCTGCTTGTGAAAGATAAAGAGAAATATAAAGTAAGAAAAACGAGCGGTAAAAGCGAGCCGGAGAGCCAGACAGAGAGAAAACGCGCGCAAGAAAGAACGAAAGAGAGAGAGAGAGAGCGTGGGCGCGCGCGAAAATGAGAACGAGGAAGAGCGAGATATAGGGATGGTGAAGAGTGAGAGAGGGGTGTAGAAGAGAGAAAGGGTGAGAGAGAGAAAGGCAGATACGCCACAGAGAGAGAGAGAGAGAGAGAGAGAGAGAAAGCGAGAGAAGAAGAGAAGAAGTAGTGTGTATGTGGTTTTTTTATGTGTTGTGTGCTCTTGTGGGGTGCTGTGGGTCCCTGGCGTGTGGCTGGTGTGAATGTGTGTTATATGTGTGAGACCTGGGGTGTGTGTGTGTTGTGTGGTCGTGTGTGTGGGGTTGTGCGTGTCGTGCGTGCGTGTGTGTGTGTGTGTGGTGTGGTGTGTGTGTGGTTGTGTGTGTATGTGTTGTATATGTGTGTGTGTGTGCGCGTCTGTTGTGGTGTGCGTGCGTGTGTGTGTGTTGTGTGTGTGTGTGTGTGTGTGTGTGTGTGTGTGCGTGTGTGTGTGCGCTGCGCGCGCGTGTGTGTTGTGTGCTGTGTCGAGAGCAGCGAGAGAGAGAGAAAGAAACAGAAGACAGAGAGAAAAGGGGAGGGAAGTTAACGGTCAAACAGCAAGTCGTACTGCGTGGTGGGTGTCATCATCGGGGAAGAACGCATGCGCAAACGTTCCTCCCGCGTCCATCGAACGGCTGGTTTCGTCGCCATGCTGTCCCTTCTCGAAGCTGAGACGGAAGTCGGCGCTGCCACCTGGCGGCCACAGAGGCGAACGTCAGCACGCTTCGTCTGCGACCTTTCGTTGATCGCCTCTGCCACACCCTGGCCGCATCCGGCGAACGCCTTCCTGCAACAGTCACAGTTGCTACAAGATTGGAGCCTAGACGAGTTGCCACAGACGCAGCGAATTATAAGGGAGATAAGAAATTAAAATCGCGCGCGTTTTAGGTGAGCGCCATTAAATGCATAGCGCAGTAAACACATCGCTCGCTCGTTCTCTCGTTTTCGAGCGCACTGCCGCCGAAACATAAGTAAACCGCATAGCCGCAAGCTTCAATTAATTTTGTTTCCTTTTATAATTTTCTTATGTACTATCTTCATTTTTCTCGTTGTTTTTTTCTCGATTTTTTCTAATCGCTAGCAAATATTTCTCGCTAGGGGCGTCGGTATATAGTCCGTAAACTCCCAGCGTCCTCACGCGTCTGCTTCTCCACTCGATCCGTCGATATTTTATTGACTAGTTTCGAAGACGGCAGCACGAAACTGGATCGTTGACTCATCACGTAGACATTTGTTTACGTGTTTAACGCTGTATAAACTCGCTAGCTTATCGATTAAAGGCCGACAGTGAAATCCTCCCTCAGTTAATTACCAGGACAGATATTAGTATATCAATTACCATTATAAATTACACTACAAGCCTCTTCTCTCTCCAAACACAGAATTAACCATAGAACCAACCGTCTCGTGCGTTCACCGCGCGAATACAGCGCGGTATGCGCATGGATCACTTTCGCCGACCGCAACGCGCACCTTATTTTCGTTGTCATCGGCGACGTTGCGCTGCGGGGTCGCCGTTGCTGATGGCGATGGTGAGGTCACACTTCTCCCAGCGTCTAGTGGAACTATGGACTAAACCGCAGGGTGGCTCGCCATTAGTGTTATATTGACTGTGATTGCCATTATCCCGCCGGTGGGGTGGGGGAGGGGAGGACGGATCCACCGGCAAAAAGACGGAGGAAGAGCCGAACAAAAATAATTGAAACACTTCTCGCTCTCTCTCTTTCCCTCCCTCCTTCCCTCCCCCTCTCTCGCTTATGATAAAGGGATTACCGATGTAGTATAGATTTAGCGCTGCTATTCACGCATTTTGACAGCCTATTCGTTTTCTTTTGCGGATCGAGTCTTAAAATGTAATATATAATATAATATATAAATATTATATATATATATATACATAGCCTACGGGTATGTAAGTACGTACAGATTAATTTCGTTACATCCGCTGCAGTAGTTTAGTTTCAGCCGATTTAAGCAACGCAGGAATGCAAGCGACGCAAACGCAAACGCCAAAAGGAACCGCAACACGAAGATATAATTAATAATAAAAGTTTAATGTCGAAAATCCATCGTCTACACACAGAAGTTTGTTTTTCACAGCGGAGATGTGGTCGCAGAATAGCGAGGCCGTGATGTCACAGGTGTCTGCGCTATGAATAACTTGCCTTCTTCTCCGTAAATCCCCTCCTCCCCAGACACACATACCACAACCGACGCGCGCGACCACACACACACACACACACACACACACACACACAACACACACACACACACCACGCACGACCGCACGCACGCACACAACACACACACACACACACACACAACAACACACACACACACATCACCATACATATACATACAACATACATACTACATACATTACATACATACATACATATCATACATACATTACAACAATACATACATAATACATACAATACATAACATACATACATAATACATATCATACATCAACATACATACATACATACATACATACATACATACTCGATAATACATTACATACTATATACTACACTACATAACATACACTACCCTATATACTACACTACATAACATACACAACAACACACACAACACACACACACACAGCACACACACAACACCACACACCACACACACACACACAGCACACACACACACACACACACAACACACACACACACCACACACACACACTACCACACACACATACACACCACACACCCGCAGAACCTCTGAGCCGCGCCACGTGCCCAAGACGCGCTCTGCCGGGCCATCAGCCACGGTTGGCGACTGCGCTACGCGCCGCGGGCGCCACAAATAGTGCAGCGCCCTCTCTTGACCGCTGATGGCGCAGCTGTAAGTCGGCCTTTAACTCCATTGCTTTTGCCCTCATGTCCCTTTACCTATTTCTACAACCCTCCCCCTTTTTTTTTTTCCTCTTTCTTTCCGCTTCCACTTTTCCTCACCCTTCCTTTCCGACGCTTCCTCCTCCTCCTCTCCTCCCCTCCTCCTCCTCCCTCCTCCTCCTCCTCTTTTTCTCCTGCAACTCTTATCTACACCCTTCTCTCTCTTTTCCTCCTCTCACTTGATCGCCTTTTTGCCCCTTCACCTCTCTTCATGCTGCCGCCCCCCTTCCCCCTCCGCTTGTCCTCTTTCTTCCCTTTCCCTTCTTCCGTGATTGCTGGCTCCATTAGCGTGTGTCAGTAAAACGAACGTGGATAGCTAACTAGCTAACCCTTCATAGATGCTCGCGCGTGATGGATAGCCGACGCGCCTCAGCTCGCGTTGCCGCTTCTTACGTCGGTCGCCGACGACACCATATGTCAGCCGACGACGGACGGCCACACCGGAACATCGCGTGCGACTCGTACACACGCGCGCGCACACACACGCCACACACAACACACACACACACACACACACACACACACACACACACACACACACACACACACACACACACACACACACACACCACACACATACGCACACGCGCACACACACAGCGATAATTTCGCGTCCTTCCTCGCATTTAAATTAGCTCTATTAATAAGCTCGAGCTTGATATCCTCCCGCTGCCGACGAATGCCCGACCAAGCCACGTCGGGGCCACGATGTCTACCCCAGATCCAGCCGTAGCTGTAACCTTGATCGGGTGTTAGACAACCTTCAAACGAGTAGCGTACGGGCGGTTGTTAGGAGAGGGTGTGAATTAGCTCACAAATGCTAATGCGGTTAGGACCCTAGATGGCTCACGTGACGATTTCAATTAGTTACTGGGTTGGTCACATTACTTACAGTTATACTGACAATATTACTATTACTTTAGTTCCTACAAGGTTAGATTCTACACAAGGTTGATGTTGCACGCACGCCGGGAATGCATTTGTGGTTGTAACGACTGCTATATAGCTGAACCCGCTCGCTGTCAGTGCAAAGCCGCCTGCACGCTCATTATTATGTATACGTCGTACATATTCATACATACAACGTTTACATACATACAAGGTCCCTACCATGCAGTAAGCTTGAATTTCGAAGCTAATTTGGCATCTAGTTGCTAGTAATGATAATGATAATGCTGCCGCCGCTGCTGCTGCTGCTGCTGCTGCTGATGATGATGATGTTGAATATGATGATGAAAATGTTGATGATGATGATGATGATGATGATGATGATGATACTACTACTACTGCTGCTGCTGCTGATGCTGTTGCTTCTGCTGCTGCTGATGATGACGATGAAGACGACGGCGACGACGACAAGGATGATGATGATTCAATATAATAATTATAATGTTATTTTTAATATTTACAGTACACGTTCAGCCATGTGTACTATGACATATGGATTCAAAACTCGCGTACTACAGCTGCCAGTGCCTACCTTCTCTAATCCTCGCATCGCCTACAGTCGAGACGCCACCTCTCGTCAGCGATGTTATCCGGGTATCTGCACGAACATCCGGGACACCGCACCTGGGTTCCTTCATCTTGTAGAATGTTCTGTCGTTTAGCAGACCACCATCGTCATCATCGTCGGCAATGCCGCTCAATTGTTGAAATCGCCTGGGTATGATTATGACAACATATTCAGAACAGCGCATTG